ACATCAAGCATTTATATTATACAGCAGCTAGGACATCTTTTCAGATAAAGATGAACAAGAAGATGACACCTTCAATCTAGATTCTAGAGACACTAAACTGAATGCCAATAAATCCCAAGAATGGTGTTCAAGACAGAACAACCATTCAAAGATGTATTTTCAATGTGAGGGCACTAAAACTGTACTAATATCCATCAAGTGTGGTAAGCAAACTGTTATGGTCCCAAAGATTAAACAGCTACGCTTGACCTTGACGCATTCCAACAACATTTGAGTCTTTTGGTGTATTGGTCAAGTACATAAGACAGATATGGAAAATTAATAAAGAAAATAATGCAACTTTTAATAGTAGAAGTAAATTTCCAAGGGCCTTAGGAAGCAGAAGCTATGAAATGTCTCAACACTCGTAAGCCAATGTATATGATCAACTTAAGGGCGCTGAAACCCCATAGTGTTAAGAATTTTCGACCACCAAGTATCATGATTAGAACTACTGATCAAAAAAGTATTATGATCAGAACAGGGAAAAGTAATAAACTTCTGTCGATCATCAACATAAATTACTAGGAGCATTAACCAATGTGGGGTGTCAGAAAGATACTTACTGATCCAGAGCGGCACAAGTAGACATTATCCGTCAGCTGCGTGATTTTGTCCGATGCCCGGTTAGCAACATACATCCCTAACAATGCAACAACAACATTGAAATCATTCCAAAACAAGATAATCATATTTGATTCAAAAGACTGCTCCCCCCCCCTTTCTAAAATTCCTTAGCAGTAATGTAATGAAAATTCTCACGCAGCATAAAGAATGAAACAAGGAACAACAACAATCTAGTACAAGAATAAGCAAATCAATACAAGCAGCAATGTTTGAAATTGACAAACGAGTTTTCACAGCCAAAAAAATACTAAAAAAACACTTAAAAATACCCCCAAGTCGGAAATTTAAGGAACAATAAAGAAGTAAATGGCTGAATATGCAGAGAGAGAGAAAGAAAGAGAGAGAGAGAGAGATAAAGATACCAGTGCTGGTTCTGGAATCAGCGCCGAGGACGACACCTCCGTCATAGGTGACTCCTATAATGGTGGTTCCCATCGAATGAGGAGCATCTAGATTAAGATCCATTACAGCAGCAGTTGTAGCGAAAGAACCCTAGAAATCAAACGAACTTGAAGTAATTCGAACCAACAATATTAAATCCTCCAGCACCAACACAAAAAAGAAAGGAGAAAGCCAGAAAGGCAGAAACGAGAGTGATGCGAGCTAAGAATTATTTGACCGTGAAACAAGAGAAAGGAATCCTACTACTACTATTCTAGTCCCTAGAGAGAGAGAGACGGAAATTCGGCTTCCTGCCCAAGTCACCTTCGATGTCGTTGGAGCGATCACAACCGTCCAACTGAGAGACTTATCTCAACTAATAGGATGTAGGAACGTAGCATGTAGGATGAGAAATCGGATTTGGTGCCCGTTTCATTTTGGTATCCGTACTGATTAGACCTGGTCGGCTAGCCGGATAGCCCGATGGGCTGTTCCGGCCTGGCCGGACTTGGTCATAATTTTAAGTCCGTGGATTTGGGCTCGGGCCTAAAGTACCGGGCTCAATATTTTTTTGGTTCAGGTTCAAATTTTCTCAAAAAAATTAGCTCGAGCCCAAGTCCGACTTGATACTATATATTAAATAATAAAAATATATATACAACATTTTTCCTTGTTCTTCTCCTTTTTTCAAGTAATAATGAGATGTTTATTATTTTTGAATTTCGAAGGTTTTTAATATAAATAAAACATTTTTATTAAATAAAAAAAAATCTGTTTTCAAATTTCTGACCAGACTTGAGCTCAGGCTGAATGTATTCTATTGATACATATACAAAACTCGGCCTGACCCATGAACAAGTCTAATATTGATTCGTTTCATTTTTCACATATTATCTGTTAATACGTGCCAAAAGTATCCGTTCCCAGTCACCAGTTGGTAGGATCGCTGGGCTCTAGCTAATTGTAGCGAAGACATGGGATCGAATCCCATTGCCATCAGGGATGGGAGGGTTATTGGAGTTTGTAAAGTGGTCCAATCACTATAGCAGTCGGCCATATACCTAGGCCATGATGGGTTTGGGTTTTTAGGCCGACGGGCTGATCATGGCTCAGGACGATAAAGTGGGTTGTGCATAGCGGCCCAGCACCCCCCCCCATAAACAGACACATGTATTATGTATACATACATATAATAATTATATATAATAATAATATATTAATATATATAAACTTTTATTTTTAATTTTATTATTATTTTAACATTTTCTTTTTTTCAATAAAAAATTGTGCCACCCACAACCCAATCCAACCCGGCACAGGCCCGCCCAAGCTCATGCCATAGGCCATGTCAGGCTCCCTTTAGGGGTTATGAGCTAGGTAGGCACGACCTGCTACAGTGTTGGCATGGCATGACCCACATTACACCTCTAAGGGTTATGGATTTGGGGGATGGGCTACCCATAAGGTGCAAATCAACTAGATCATGGTCCAACTCAAATTCAAATATGATCCCATTTTCCACATTTCGATATCTCTTGTCAAATTTTCGGATCAATTCATATAAAAAAGATAACATCAATTTAAAAATCGGATCGAATTTGAATTACTCCCATTTGATATGAAAGAATCCAATACAATTTATATTGAACTTTTGTAATTTGATTTTTTTTGTATTATTTATGTTGTTTTTTAAAAGATTTGTTTATATATATATATATATATATATATATATATATATATATATATGTATGTATGTATGTATGTATGTATATGATAAAAACGGTTAAAAATGCTTGTATTTTTTGTTTTTCTTTGTATAGACCATTTTGTTTCTTTTTTTATTAATAATTTGTTAAATTTTAACCTATGGATAATTAAATCAAATCGAATCAAATCAAACTCAAATATCTAACATCCTTAGCAAATTCAAATTTGAATTGATCTTTGTTAGATCCATCGGATCATTGGATTGGATCAGATATAAGATTTACATTATCACATCAAATTTGGATATACCCCTATCAAAATTTGATTCAATCCATTTGCATCCCTACTACCCTATTGTGTAGGCCTATATCATGTTATGTAGGTGCGTAGCCCTATGAAACAAAGAAGAAGAAGAAGAAGAAAGAATTGGATTGTTTTAATAGGGTTATAATTGGGTCGGATTTGGATTTAACCAACTCTACTTCATTTATTTAAAAAATAAAAATAAATCTAAGAAATAAAAAATAATTACTTTTTAACATAAATTCAATATATATTTTAATTTTTGTATAATTATATAAATTTTATACACTAAATCAAGACACACAAATATATATTATAAAATAATTGAAATTGAATTTTAATTGGATCAAATAGGGTTCAATTTGGATCTTATCCAATTATTAATCACATTAAAATAATAAAATCCAAATCCAATATCATTATGTAAATGGATCATTATCAAACCAAATGTTGGACTAGATTTCATACTATTGAGTTTGTTGACAACCCTTTTGAGGGTGATCATGGATTGAGCTAAGCAGCTATGGCCTACTATAAGTATTATAGCCCAGGTGGAGTCAGCCTGGCCCAACCCCAAGCTTGACCCCAAAATAAGCCCAGGCCTGGGTCTATACACCAGGTTAGACCAAGTTTTGGGTCTATCATCTTAAATGCATTATAATTAGGGCAATTTCTTTAAACTATCCCTACTGTTTGTAAAATTGACTAAATGTATCCTTACTGTTTACATATTGTCTTAAACTACCCTTAAGTTTTCTAACAATTGTCACACACCTCCCTTGCCATTAGTCGACCATCATAAACCCTTTACATGTGACACTACATGACTAATAATTTTGTCTATAATTCCTAAAATGCCCTTTTCATTTCATTTTAGTTCATTTCATTTAGGGCTCGGTCAGCATTGGACTGTTTATTGCTTTAGGTCTCAGTCACCAATGGCCTCTCACATGTATCTGAGCCGTTATTTGTCAGCGCCAACATCATCAAAGGTTATCCATTTTGTAAACACTTGGAAGCAGCAATGAGTTTCGACCCTATGGTGTGGGGGAAGGAGAACACCCATCAACTCTTACTACTAGTTGCTAACACAAAATTAAAAAGAAAAAAGAGAGAGCCGACATCCACGGCGAAGTATGATAGCAAACCAGCTCTGATGCGCCGAAGAGTTTTATGTTTTTGTTGTATGTTTTCTTCCCATCTTGGTTGACTTGGACCCGCCCATTGATGTTCATCTTATGCTGCTTAGTCTTCCACCACCTGATCTTAAACCTCACCGCCATCGCCAAATCTCCTTGGAATTGTTGGATTTTAATCTCATAAGAGATTAAATCCAACGGGTTTGATTGGTCAATTACATGAGAAATTGCACCTGCACACTTGATTGAAAAATTAATTTTTCTCTTACAAAACCCAGTTTTGAACTTGTCCCACATTGGAAAATTATAAGCTTTGTTTTTAGTATTTTAATAGGAGCTGATTTACACTCCTTAGAAATAGTAGAGGAGAGTATGGGGTTTGATACCACGCAACGCGTGCGCATGCATGTGTGGTGCTTTAGAGGCGCACTTTGCTCACACTTCGTGCGCACCCGCGTGGCTTGCGAAGGGCGGCTTTGGTTTTGGTGCGATGTTGACTGTTGATCACCGTTGATGAGATCAACAGTCACGATTCGATCAGGTGTGATCAAGAGGCACAATTCAAAGTTAACAGTTATTAACTGTTAACTATTTTTTAAACAGTCACAATGTTTGAAAGTGTGACTGTTCAAGGTGCCTTCTCTAAACCATCACCTACTTTTTCTTCATACCTCTTCATAAACTATTAAAGGAACATGAATCAGACTTCAAAAACACACATTTTCAAAATCCACTTTCTCTCTCTCTCTCAGTTCGGTCTGCTACAGTCTCACAGAAGGTTTCTCCAGAGATTCTTCAACTTTGGTGGTTGTAGATTCTCGCCCAAGGCTCTGTTGTATCCTGGGAATGAATTTGCTTGTAACTCAACAGCAAACTTAGTGAAACTGAGTGGGGGCAAATAACGTTCTAAAGACAGTGTCTTCAGACGCGCCTCAAAGCTTCTCCTCCAAAGTTACAATGACCCCATTTTCCAACAATTTTAGAACGTTATTTTGCAATGGAGGTGGAAGCAAGCATGACTTCAATCAAGATGATGAACCAAGATCTTGTTCGACTAGACTAGTTAGATGGAGCAAATTTCAGCCGATGGCAAAACAAGATGATCTTTTTTCTGACCACACTAAAACTATACTATCTGCTGAACCCAAATCTGCAATCACTTCCTGAACTCACTGACAAAGACTCAAAAAAAATAAAGAAGGAAAGAGCAAAACGAGAAGCTTACTCACTTCTGTGTCGAGGACACATACTGAATGCCTTATCAGACTGGCTCTACAACTTCTACAAGGAATTTACATCTCCAAAAGAAATCTGGAAAGCCCTAGGATTCAAATATAAGGTGCAAGAAGCAGATACGAATAACTATCTTATTGCAGAATACTTTGACTTCACCATGAATGACAATAAATCCATACTGGAGCAAGTTCATGAACTACAGGTGATAGTCAACAAAATTTGATCCATTGACATCATCCTTCTTGAATCTTTCCAAGTGGAAGCAATCATTGCCAAACTTCCACCCCTCTTGGAAGGATTACAGGAAGAAGCTTCTACACAAGGCTGAAGAACTTACCTTGGAGCAAATTCAGCAACACCTTCGTATTGAAGAAGAGTCTCGGATTAGAGACAGTAGGGATAAGACCATGGCTGGTATGCTGAACTCTAAGGTCAATTTTGTGGAAAATAGATCAAAGAAGACTAACCCTGCATTACAAGTAAAGAAGAATGATGAAAACTTCAAGAAGAGCAACAATAAGAAAGGGTCCTGCTATGTTTGTGGAAAAAAGGGGCATTATGCCCGAGTCTACCGACATCGGAAAGGCGGAACCAAGTCTGCAAACATGGTAGAAGACAATCTAGTCGCCATGATTACTGAAGTCAACATGGCAGAATTGTCTTCTGGATGAAGGTTTGATTCAGGCGCCACAGTCCATGTTTGCAAGGACAAGTCCTTGTTCAAGACATATGAAGAAGTGACTGATGGCCAGGAGGTATAGATGGGAAACCAAACATTTGCCAAAGTTGCTGGAAGAGGCAACGTAGAGTTGAACTTCACCTCTGGAAAGACACTAACTCTCCTGAATGTTCTCCATGTTCCTGACATTAGAAAGAACT